ACAATGGTAGACAATGACTCCTACTGGATGACAATGCCAGTTAGTTTTGTCTACCTCAAATCCTCAAGAAAGGTGACTAATTGCTCGGTGTGGAGATGCATGCCTGTAATCTCAGTATTCAGGAGGCTAAGGCAGGAGGACCTCAAGTTAAAGGCCAGACTGAGTAACACTGTCTCATAAAAGGCAGGGAAGACTGTAACAATGAGATGTATAAGACCAAGTTTACAACTTGGTGGGAGGGAGGGTGGAGCTGGGGAGGTGGTGAGGGAAGGGATGGTAGGGGAAAAACAAAGGAGGGGTAACAGTGCTTGATAGGAAATGTACTCACTACCTTACTTGTGTAACTGTAACCCCTCTGTACAGTATCTTTTTTTTTTTTTTTTTGTCAGTCGTGGGGCTTGAACTCTGGGCCTGGGCGCTGTCCCTCAGCTCTTCAGCTCAAGGCGAGCGCTCTACCACTTGAGCTACAGCACCACTTCCGGTTTTCTGGTGGTTTATTGGAGATAGGAGTCTCAAGATCTCTCCTGACCGGGCTGGCTTTGAACCGCGATCCTCAGATCTCAGCCTCCTGAGTAGCTAGTCTGTACAGTATCTTTACAATAAAAAATATATATTTAAAAAAAGGCAGGAAAGGACTGTTTTTCAACATAAATTTGCTGTATCAACAAAGTAGAGGCAACCAAAATTTGTCCAAGAAGACAAATATTACAATAGTGGAGGGCTGGGAAGGTGGCTCAGTGGTAGAGTGCTTGGCTTGCATGCATGAGGCCCTGGGTTCTATTCCTCAGCACCACATAAGCAAAAAGAAAAAAGCTGGAAGTGGCGCTGTGGCTCAAGTGGTAGAGCGCTAGCTTTGAGCTGAAGAGCTGAGGGACAGCGCCCAGGCCCAGAGTTCAGGCCCCACGACCGGACCCAAAAAAACAAAACAAAACAAAATACAATAGTGGAAAAAGTCAATCTAACAATGCTGCATCAAAGCTGATGGTTCATCAAGTAGGAGAGCCAGTGCACAGCCCTTCAGGTTACGAAAAGTACTACTTACTAGAAACCTCAAAAGAGTGAGAGAGAGAGAGAGAGAGAGAGAGAGAGTGTGTGTGTGTGTGTGTGTGTGTGTGTGTGTGTGTACACAACTAGAATTTTGTCAGTAGAACAGAAAAGCCAAGAATGTATTTATGTCTATCTCCTGTCCTTCCTTTGCCTAGACCAACTAGAACCTTGTCAAACTTGATATTTACTGCCAATACCTAGCTTAGTGCCTTGCATACAGTAGGTATTTAGTAATTCTTTCTGGTTTATTAATCTTACAAAATATCAGTAATTAATGAGTACTGTACACCTAAGATTTGATCTGTTGCTAATGCATCAAGCAACCATTTCTAGAGGAGGGCTTGATGAAACGAAGGAGACTCCTTGATTTCATGCTTTGCTGTCAATGTGGAGATGCCAAATTTATTCCCTTGGCTGGTATCTCTGTATTTCTAGGATTTATGTGGAAGATGTCTGAAGAAAGCAGAGTTTGTATCTTTCTGTTACACAGTGAAAAATAGCCTGAGAAATATAGCTTCAATTCTCTGTACTGTTTAGTGAAGTCCTGAACTTTCTCCTACTTCATGAGGAGAGTCTAACGTCTGTAAAATATATGCAAGACATGAAAAGAAGAGTCCTTCAACTGACCCTTCAAAGAATATGTCAAAGAACAGATATGTTCAATTGTATGGGACAGTCTTATCAGCTTATTTTCCCCTTCTTTATTAACCCCTTTTTGTTTTCCTAAAGACAGAAAGATGGTGAAAACAGGGGAAGCAAACCCCCCTAAACATTAATCCAGTTTAGTTACGTGATAAAAGTTCCTTTAAAAAAGTTGGTGCAAAACACCAACTGCAAAAGAAAACTACACAAGAAAAAACCCCCCAACACTATTTGATCTTGTTATACATTGAAAGTTTTGGACACTTTTAAGACAGCAAGTGCCTTTTTAATGGATTTTACCTGCAGGAAAATGATTACAACCATAAAAGCTTTAAAGTGTCAGCTGGTGATGTATTTTTCTTTATCCTTTTTATTTTTATGCAGAAAGAAATTGAAGGCATATGGCAAAGTGCATCATTAATTTCTTATTAATTTCATAATATGAAGACAACCAGTTGAAATAATAGTGCTACAACTTTAAATTACCGAATGCACTTGGTATTTAATGAGAGATTTAGCACAGCAGGGTTTCTGTTAAATTAAGTTGTGCCTTCACATCACAGTAGGGAAACAGGTGTATATTGGTTTAGAATTATGGAAATGTTGACTAATTCCAAGGCTTGTAATCAAACAGCCAGGCACCCTGTAATATTTTTTCCCTAAGAATATGCATTAATCTTTTATGTCTGGTTCCATTTCTTCTTGTCCACCAAAGGCTCACAGCTGAAAGACAATCACTTTCACGGTTTCCCTGCAGCTGTTAAGGGTGATGTTTATATAAAGTTGCACACAACTCTTTCCCATTTACAACACTTGAAGTAGTAAATTTAGCAATGTGTACATTGTAAAGGCTATGAATCTTACTGCTAAGGCCTGATTTCAAATTTTTGTCTAACCTGCTTTAAATAATTAAGAATATGAAGTTAAGTTGGGTGAAAAAAAATTCAGTAGTCATCTTTACCAATTCTCAAATTACAGTCCTTCAAACTTGGTCTCCAAAGTTACCACTTGTAAATTCCACATGAAGACTCTTTAGGGAGAGGTAAAAAAAAGTGGAATTTCCCCCCAAATACAAGTTTTATTTACTAAGAAAAAAAATCAGAATAAGAAACCAAATAGGCTGTGGATCATGGTTCAAGGAGAGACCTGGAAAAAAGACCTCATCTCCAAGAAAAAGAGCTGGGCACAGTGGGATGTACTTTGTTGTTCCAGCTATAGAGGAAGCATAAATTAGGATGAGTCAGTCTAGGCCAGCCTGGGAAAGAAAAGTAGGACCTTACCTGAAGAGTAACTATAGCCAAAAGGGCTGAAGGTATGGCTTAAATGAGAGACTGCCTGTCAAACAAGCACAAATTGAATTCAAGGCCTAACATTGGGGAAAAAACACCACCAAAACAATACAAAAGATATCTCAAACAGAAGAATACTCATCAGCATTTCTATGCTTCAGCATGTCTTACTCATTCTAACTGGCTTTTGGAGAATTCTTTCACATGGGAAGATGGTAAGTTGGGAGCTGTGTTTCTTGTAGAGAGGATTCATCCAAATTAGCCAAATTTTGCATTCAGCTAAAATATGACACTAATTGTTATCAAATCTTATACCTAAATGACAAATGATAATTATTACCTGGAAGGGATTTTATATATTTATTATTGTAAAGTGTCTTTAAGAGAAAGAACACAAAGTGGTCTTCGTCTCTGATCAGGTGCCGGGAAAATACAAACTATTTTATTTTGTTGTTGGCAGAGCTAGTGAATATTTGCTTTGTTGTCTCAATCAATAATATAACCTACACTGTAACCTCCTAAAGTTACATTGGAAAAACTCCATTTACATGCAAAATGAAGCTACTACTACTTTTTTTAAACCACTAAGCAAAGCACTTAAGACTTAATAAAGATAGCCTTACTAAAAACCACCCTGTAAGTTTTTAAGCAGTTAAACTGGAGTTACATATTTTCCTATTCTTTGATTTTTTCACATGAAAGGTGAAAGCCAGGGGCTGGGAAGGTGGCTCAGTGGTAGAGCGCTTGCTTTGCATGCAGGAGGCCCTGGGTTCGATTCCTCAGCACCACATAAACAGAAAAAAAAAACCCGAAGTGGCGCTGTGGCTCAAGTGGTAGAGTGCTAGCCTTGAGCTGAAGAGCTGAGGGACAGCATCCAGGCCTAGAGTTAAGGCCCTACGACCGCGCCCCCCCCTCCCCCCAAAAAAAGAAAGGTGAAAGCCAAAGTGGTATGTCTGAAAACCCAGGTTCATACCTTATTACCATTGGGTGATTAAGAAGCTAATATTCTTAAAAGCTTCTATTGAGCATCTTAGTACTACAAATATTATAAAGTTTTTAGTGGATAAATTATACAACATTATATTTTGGGGGAATTGTCTATGCTCATGTGTGCATGCATTCACATGTGCATACACATGTGTGTACTTCACAGATAGAGAAATTATTAATTGAAACATAATAAACATTTGATCTTTCTCTTATTTTTTTTTTTATCAAATCAGGTTTCACTATATTTATGCTGCTTGCCACACATCAATCATAATAACCAATGTCTATCATTATGATACTGAATTAATTAATTCATCACTGATTATTTGGGAAATGGAAAAAATCTTAACAGCATAAAGAAACTTACAATCACATAAAAAACATAAAAGTACCAAAAATCCCTTAAAAATAATGTATTTTGATAAAGCTGCTATATGCAACTATTTGTTTGTAGTAAATTGTTCTAATCATCAAATATTACTGGGAAGCAAAAGGAAAATAATACTGTAAGCTTTGTATTTTCTGTTCTATATCAACAGGAAGCCACAAATTGGGCATTAAAACATTGACTTTGTTAACCATCATTGACTGTTTAGAAATCATTAGGAGGCTTAATATTATGGCTGTACAGGGTTACATTTTGTCCTTTGAAAGAAAATCTAAAGACTACATTTGAAAAGGGGCTCCTGGTGAGTAAAAGCTTTTCCTTTTCCATTTGTTGGGCTTCCCCCCTCTCCTTTTAAAATCTTAGCCCACCCAATACTCTTTGGCAGCCACTGTACTCAGTAGGGTCCCTCTGATTTTCTAACCAGGAGAATATGCTATTTGAGAGCTCTTCCCGTCAGAGTTAATGCCAGCATTTCTTTATGGGCTGGCCAGCAGGTCTGGCTACCACAGGCAACAACGGTCAGCATACACTCCTGAAAAGACCAAAGTCATTTTTGGCACTAAGAACCCATAACTAGAACCTTCATTTGAAAGTACCATTTTCAAGCAATAAAGTGATTTTGGTACAAAAGTAAACTGACTCACCCCAGGTAAAGTTTTAATATTGTGCAGCGCATTCTGGGCCTCAAGTGCAGCTTTTCTTGTATAAAATGTTACGAAACAACAACCTACAGAGAGAGATGAAAAGGTTTTAGAAATTTCTGTGAATGCTTTGGCTTAGATATAATGGAGACTGTGGCGAACAAATAATCTATTTAAAAGGATGCACAATTTAAAAATAATAAAATGTATGAGAGCAGTAGTAACGACATCTTGAGCATTTATGCAGTGCTTTTCATCTTAAATCACATTTATTAGCTTTACCCACGTTGGATATCAATTTATAGCTTGGTGTACCAACTATCTGAAATACAGCTATTTAGGAATGAGGTGGGAGGTGGGAATAGGAGGATGAGGTGTTAATGGGTCTTGTAGCATAGCAACTACATAAAGAGAAGTATTTAATCACAGTAACAATAGCATAAACTTACATTAACTGTAATTTTCTTAAAGGATAGCTCTAGAACATCACACTTTTAAAAAACACTTTCTTAAAAATTGGGATAACGCTTTCTTTTTTTCATAACATAGAATATAATGCAAAGTTCTGTAACTATGACTACTCAATCAAATTGTACCAAAATGGAAAGCTATTTTGTAACCAGTTTAGAAATCAGGTTACAATACAAATGGACATGTGCCTAATAGAGGTTATCAGACTTTGACCTTTTCATTGAATAGGGATAGGGTGTGGTACATCTCCAGACTTTCCCTTTTCAAAACCCCTGGCACTCCAGGCGGCCAGGTCAGCAGATGTCCTCTTTCCAACCAACCTCTCCACCAAAGAAAATGATATTGAAATCTTAGACCATTCCTTCAGAGTCCTGAAGGATGACTGTTATCCTTTCTTCAAATTATAAAAATACTGGTTAACAATTTATTAAATCAGCATACACCTTCTTTGCACAATCAGGCTTGGAAAAGGGGAGGGAGCAGACAAAAACTTTGCTACTTTTGATTAGTGCTGTCTCAAGTTAAGCCTAGAATAGAGGAAAAACAGATGATGTGAAGCACTCATCATAGTTGGAAAACTCTACTTCATCTTTAAGAAAGGATCCCAATGTATAGAACCAGAGAGGGATAAGGGAGCTAGAGGGGTACAATAGGAAGAGCTAGAGAGGCACGAGTACACAAGAACAGCAAGTAGCATGAGAGCAGGGTAGAGTGCTAAGACACTGACATTGGTTCTCTTCAGGGTAATGCAGCAAATACAACAAACTGCAGAACAAAAATGACAGTTTCAGGCAGGGCCCCAGAGCCACATATCAGCATTCTGATTTCCAAAATAAAAATTCAATGGAGTAGGAGGAACAAAGTACAATATCATGTATTCAGCATTCTTAAACAGATTGAAGATGTTTCCTATCATTTGGAAATTTGGCATCTATTGTCTTACACTTGATTTAATCACAACACACCAAGAATAAACACACAGAACTTCATCTTTTGGATAAAATATAGCATGGCCCTAGATTCTTGGCATTAAAAAAAAAAAACCCAAAACACCATGTATTGCTGTGTGCTGATGGCTCACACCTGTTAAGCCTAGCTACTCAAAAGACTGAGATCTGAAGATCATAGTTTGAAGCCAGCCCAGGCAGGAAAGTTTGTGACAGTTATCTCCAACTAACCTATCCCTCCCAATAAAAAAAGAAAGCCAGAAATGGACCTCTGGCTCAAGTGCTAGAGCTCTAGCCTTGAGTTTAAGCCCCAGAAATGGCACAATTAAACAAACAAAACCCACTAAATGTATTATCTGACTGATGGAAGGAGCTGAAGATTAAGAAAATTCTTGAAGGAATCACATGAAGAGACAGTCCATTTCTATTTATAAGCTTCACTTCAGCTATTTTGACTTCCTTGACCACATTTCATATGGACATACTACCTTTTATGGAATTAACTAGCTACTTTATCTTCAGTGGAATAATGTAGCCCAGAAAGCTTATATGAATTACAGAGGAATAATTTTAAACAGTAAAGTCCAAGTTTCTAGCAACTAGTATAATCACTTTTTCATTTTTTTGGTGGTGCTGGATTATGCTTGCTAGGTGAGTACTCTACAATTTGAGCCACATCTCTAGCAGCTTCCCCCACTTTTTGTTTCAATCATTATTACAATCATTTTTTAAAGGGAGAAAATATAAATTATGTTTCATTAGATTAACAGAGAAAGAAAAACAGGGAGAGCTTTCTAAACACTTGTAGCAAAAACTGAATAAATTCCCCTTTCTTATGTATTGTTTATGGGGTCAGCTTCAGGACAAGGAAGCAATGGGGACGTTCTGAATTTCAACTTCTCCTAATAACCAAAGCTTCCTATCAGAAGCAGAATCTGATACTTTCAAGCAGGTAGCGTTTGGAGAGGAGACACTTAGAGTTAAGGGATGAAATTGTCTGGAAATTAGGAAGAGTAAAGCTTGGATAAAAACAAGTGCTCAGAGTCAAAAATAAAAAAATTTAAGTTCAAAATGAAAGATATGGATCATCCTACAAGAACGCTGAAATGACAGGGACTGAAATGGTAAGACAAAGGCAACAGGACAGAGACAAAATAAAATGCAAAGACTGAGTGCCCCTGAATGGTGGGCCCTCAGCAACAGCGTGTTATCAGGCACAAAGGAAACTCCTGCCTTAGACACACACACACAAAAATCACTAAATCACTGCCACTATTACAATCACCTAAGAATCCATGAGGACTACACAGTCTACCTGCTATTTACATATTAAAATGTTGCTCCTGGCAAAGGAGACACTTAATTTTTCCAATTTTTATGCTAGTATGAATTTGGTTACCTATGGTGCTTTCTTCTAGAATGTTTGTTCTTAGTAAATATAAATTAGATCAGGTGAGTGGGTTTTGTTCTTAATTTTTCTATTTGAGAAAAGGAAATTCTGGAGCTGGCATCTCAGCATTTGTGGGAAAGTAGGTAAAGAGGAGAAAGGAAGGTAGAAAGGAATTAATGTACAGAGGAGAATTGGTAAGATATTCTAAGTCACTAGTTCCTACCAAGTTCACTCTTTCCTGTGTGACTGGTATGGTGAAATCAGGGCCAGATCAGTATAGGTCTTTTCAAAGGATGAGCAACACTTACCTCTTTTACTATATATCTATTTAAACAGAGATTCTTTAAGATTATATCAAAACAGGTTCTACTTTTACTAGGAGAATGTCTTCTACAACGTCGGTAATATACTTCCCTTACAGCTTGCTTATTTAAATACTAATAACACAGATGCTTATGCGTGGCGAGCAAATTTTCAACATATTTGTGTGAATTTAAAGAGTCCCATCTCAATTGAGTACAGCCCCTAGCCATAATCCAATGATAACAGAGCCCAGACTACATTCCTTTCCTTATTCAGCCCCAGCTGAACAGCCTTGTGCAATAAATAACTGGTACACATATGAGAGACCTGGAACAGACAATAAGACTGGGAATATTATCTCAAGAGTCCTCCTTTGGTTTCATAGTTTGATTCCTGAGTGACTTAGAGAAAAATATATTTTCTCTGTACCTTATCTACTTTGGTTTCATTACTTCTAAAAACAGTGAAAGAAAACCACAACTTAAAATTTTCCCTTCCCTCTTGAAGGAAAAAAATGTAACCTAGGAAGAAAGTAACCCCAAAGAAAGTAACGCAAAAGACCACACAGACAGATGTCAAGTAGAAGAAAAGATTTACTGCCAGCAGAGCTGACAAGGCCAAGTTCTCACGAGGAAAGGGCACAAATGGCACCTTCTGGCTCCTTGGAGGCCCCTTTTATATCTTTGGGGCCGAAAGTAGGAGGTTCCTCACCTACTGCGCAGGTGCTGCTATCGAGGGCAGTGATTAGGTCTGCAAGATGGGTGTTTCCTTACACCTCTGAACTGTATGAATTATATTAGCCACAGTGTTCTATCCTGAAAAAATTCTTATTGAAATTATTTTTTTCCACTATATGGAGCAAAAAATGACTTATAGTTCATTTGGCATACATGATGATTAACTTAATGAAAACAATGGTTATCTAATTTGCATAATAAATACAGCTCTCCAAATAAGGGTAAACACAGACCTCCTTCCCCAAGAGGACTTTGATGAGTTCATTTCTAGAATCGGAAACTATGTGAAAGAGTGGTTCCGTTACTCTCCTAGCTAACAACCATAGTCTTCTTGCCTATCTATCACTTAGGATACTCAAAAACCTTAGGCTGTTGGATCTTCAGGGAAAATCTCAAGGGAGAGAAATATCATTCTTTGCCCTGATATAGAAATTATTATGGCAAAAGGTCAGGGAACTTCTATAGATCCTAGACAGTGCATGAAAGTTCAACAAGCATGCAACGTTCTTTCCTGCCAGCCCTAACTCAAAGTACAGCTGTTACGGGGACCACCTGTTTCTTAGATTTCCTCATGCCAGCTGTAACTCAGGTCTGAAGAGCACTGGAGTAATTTCCAGGTCAGCTGCAACACCAGATGGCTTAGCCATCAGATTCAGGGGACAAAGCCTCCCTCCTTGCACAGGTTCTACTTCAAACATCATTGTAAGGTAGGTGGTTAAACATCTACAATACCCAGATGCTCTTTGGTGGTCAGTGGTTGTTGCAACATGTACCAGAGGTTAGTTCTCTTACCCTCAGTGTTCAGTCCTGAAAGCCGCCTTCTCTTATCTCTATGGGTTGCTGAGAAAGGCCCCAAAGAGGAGTAGTGCCAGACCAGGGCCTCTAGGATCATGCAGTCTGATGAGTTCAGTGCTTCAACAACTTCCGACATTCATTCCTATTTCTAATTCATAGTAGTAAACGTTTGCTGCTTCACATTTTTCTAGTTTGTCCATTTGATACTTTATAATGAACTCATTCAGGAGTTTCTGTCAACAGCAACCAAGTTAGAAAAGACAAATATGACTTCCGACAGCCAGGTCATCTTATGGCATCCCAGCTGCAACTTCAACTCACTGTGTTAATAGATATTTTGCTGCATAGAGTCAACACACCCTAATGATCATTCATGTATCTCCACTCTTCACTAGTACTTTTTAATTTCATATGTAAAAAGGCAGTGGGGAAACTGAATTGAT